TCGTCTAAAGCAAGTTAGTACGAATTTAAAACGAAAGGCTGATGAGAAAATTGATCAATTTAACATGACTGGATCTGGGTATAAAACTAAAAGAAAACGATTGACATCGTTCATTCCACCATTAACTGCTAAAGTGAAAGCTGCGAAAAAACTTTGTCTAAAACCAAAAAATATCAAAGATATATTTTCAAACTAAATATGTCTTTCCTTCATAATCATTCTTGCGAGTGCGTTAAGTCTGAATTGGATTTGTTTGCACTACCGTCTACACAAACTAGCATTGAAAATGGATTGTGGATTCATTATAAACCAATTTCATCTCTTGGTGATGATGGACCTATCGAGTTTCAAGTTCCTGGGACCGGCGATGACTACATAGATTTGTCTCATACATTACTCCACATAAAGGCAAAAGTATTAAATCAAGATTCAACTAACTTGGTATCTACTACAATAGTAGCACCTGTAAATAATTGGCTGCATTCACTTTTTAGTCAACTTGATGTTTATTTAAACCAAAAACTTGTATCACCACCTAATAATACCTATTGCATATCGAGCATACATGGAAACCCTTTTAAACTATGCCCCTGCTGCTAAACAATCTCATCTTACTTGTAGTCTTTGGTATGAGGATACAGCAGGAAAAATGGATTCTACAGATGGTAAAAACATAGGATTTGTTAAAAGACAGGAATTGATTAGTGAAAGTAAGGAAATAGAAATGATTGGTCATCTTCACGGTGACATTTTTAACCAAGATAAATTTTTAATTAATGGTGTTGAAATGAGTGTTAAATTGGTTCGATCAAGAGAGAGTTTTAATTTAATTGTTGGGTCAAACGATGTAAAGTTTAAAGTTTGCATTACGGACGCAACTCTTATTGTTCGACGAGCACGAATTAATCCAAGTGTATTACTCGCACATCAAAAAGTTTTAGCTTCTACCACTGCTAAATATCCTATTACTCGAGCTGAAGTAAAAGTTTTAACAATTCCTTCGGGTCTTCAAGGAAAAACTCTTGATAATATATTTTTAGGACAGGTACCGAAAAGATGTATAATTGGATTTGTGAACAATTCTGCATTTAATGGTTCCCTTACTAAAAATCCATTTAACTTTGAAAACTATGGTATTAATTCTTTCAGCTTATATATTGATGGTCAACAAATACCTTCAAAAGCTTTGCAACCATCTTTTAATAATAGCATATTTACATCAGCATATCATACTCTATTCTCGGGAACTGGTATTCACTTTCTTAATGAAGGAAATGGAATCTCTTGTGAACAGTATGGCAAAGGTTACTGTCTATTAGCATTTGACTTAACTCCTGATTTATCAGCTAACTCATCAACTCATTGGAATCTCATAAAGCATGGTAGTGTAAGAATAGAAGTACGATTTGAATCCTCATTAATACAAACAATTAACTGTATAGTTTATGCTGAGTTTGATAATATTATTGAGATAGATAAAAACAGAAATGTTACTGTAGACTATAGTAGTTAAGGTTATAATATGTGTTGTGTGTTAGATTTTATGTGTTATGTGTAATGCATTTTGTGTGTATGTAACTATGTGAAACGTTATAAAATTAAATAAAACAAATTGTATGCAATATATTTTTTTTATTTCTTTATAAATCTTCTATTTAATCTAATACAAAACACTGTTCGAGTTGAAATTTTACATAAGCACACTGACTAAACCACTGAACATGCTGCTGCCAAGGATCATCATCATCTTCCCAATCTTTTAAACCACCACCACAATGGAAACACTTGGTCCCGTCTGCATGCATTCGGAGTGGAAATGCCACGGTAGTTATGAATACGTCAGATTATAATTCTAAAATACAAGAACTTTTGTCGGATGCAAGTACGTATAAAAAGGTTAAAAATGACCCAACAAATAACACACTTAAAACAACTAGTGATCTCATAAAGAAACACCCCGAAAAATTAAATCTAGACGTAAAATCGATAATACCTACGTGTGTTAAACCACCGAAGTTGTATGGGTTACCAAAAATACACAAGCCCAATGCTCCACTACGTCCTATAGTGAGCCAAATCGATTCACCAACTTACAGATTGGCTCAACACTTAGCGAATATACTCTCACCGCTCAAGGGACATACAAGAGCACACACAAAGGATTCCTACCATTTTGTCAGCGAGATTAAAGACCTACATCTGGCAGACAATGAAACTATGGTGAGTTTTGATGTGCAGTCTCTGTTCACATGCCTACCTGTTGAAGACTGCATCTCGATTGTTACTAGAAGGCTAGAGGAAAATAACATGCCCGTAGAATATGCAGTATTACTCAGACACTGCCTTACATCTGGCTACCTATTGTGGAAGGAGGAGTTCTACAAGCAAGTAGATGGTGTGGCGATGGGCTCACCTGTATCTCCCATTGTTGCCGATATATTCATGGAGGACTTTGAGGAGAAAGCCCTGCTTACTTCTCCCATAAAGCCAAGATTCTACAAGCGGTACGTAGACGACACTTTCACAATTCTAGCTTTAGATAAAGTAACTGCATTTTTAGACCATCTTAACTCCTTAAATTCTAAAATTCAGTTCACAATGGAGTTAGAGGCAAACAATTCTTTAGCTTTTCTAGATGTGTTAGTAATTCGGAATCCTGATAACACCTTGAGCCACACTGTGTATAGAAAAAAGACCCATACAGATAGATATTTAAACGGTGATTCTCACCACCATCCTTCACAGTTAGCTACCGTGGGTAAATCTTTGTTTCAGAGAGCACGAGGGATCTGTGACAGTAAACACCTGGCCGCCGAGCTCCAACACGTCAAGCAAGTTTTGCACGACAATAAGCTTCGGGTCCCGCGCCTACGTCACAGTGAACGAGTGAAGCCGGCCACAGTCGAGCGAGTGCCTGCTGTACTGCCATTTGTCAGAGGTGTCACTGACAAGATTGGCTACATCTTGAAGCGTGCTTCCATTAAAACATATTTCAAGCCGCCGAAGAAGATTAGTCAGTTTTTACCATCAGTCAAGTGTAATATTCCTCTGCAAGATGCAGGAGTGTACAAGCTGGATTGTGAATGTGGTCTCTTTTATATAGGACAAACTAAAAGATCCATAAAAACCCGCGTTAAAGAACACATAGCTGATGTGAAGAATAGACGCTCCGGGAAGTCTGCAGTCTGTGAACACGTACAGGATCGCCCCCGTCACTACATTAGATTTGATAGACCACAAATCCTCGCTAAAGAACACCGATTCCTTCCAAGGATGATTCGCGAGGCTATTGAAATCAAAAAACATCCTAATTTCAATAGAGAAGATGGCTGGGTGCTACCATCTGCTTGGGATCCCATAATTAATAAAATTAAATACCAACCCAAGCATACAACTGCAAGACTTCATGATACTGTAAGTTCATACTGCGTAGATCGGAACAAAAATTAATAATTTTTAATCTGGAGGTAGCCGTGGTTAACTATGACATTGGGACGTCATACACCTCAGTCCCCCCCGTGACCATGGGTGCTGTAAAGTGCTTGAAACGTCTGGAAAGTAAAATAAGTTAATATACGCGATAAAATCCGTAAAATTAGTTTTATTTAAATGTGTAGTGTTCGCGTAAATATAAGAAATCATTATGAGAATAAACTAGTCCCAAATTTAAATAATAAAGATAAATATGTAATTCATTATAGAAATTTAAAGCAGTGCATAGAAATGGGGGTTAAATTAACTAAAATTCATAGAGTTTTAAAATTTAAACAGTCTCCCTGGTTGAAGATGTACATAGATCTAAACACAAAATTAAGAACTTTAGCAAAATCAGATTTCGAAAAAGATTTTTATAAATTAATGAATAATTCAGTCTTCGGTAAGACTATGGAGAATATTGAAAAAAGGGTTAACATAAAATTAGTTACGCACTGGGAGAACCAGGGTAAAGCTTTAGGTGCTCAAGATCTAATCGCTAAACCACAATTTCATAGCCTTTCAATATTTTCGGAAAACCTAGTTGTGGTTCAGTTGCGAAAAACGAAGTTAATATATAACAAACCAATTTATTTAGGGTTTTGCATTTTAGATATTTCAAAAACCTTAATGTATGATTTTCATTATAACTATATGATTAAAAAGTTTAGTAAAATCAAATTATTGTATACAGATACGGATAGTTTAATATATCATATATTTACAAATGATTTTTACACTGATATAAAACCTGACCTTTCATCATACTTTGATACCTCAGATTATGATACAAATAATATTTTTGAATATCCAAAATTAAATAAAAAGAAATTAGGTTTTTTCAAAGATGAAAATAATGGTAAAATCATGAAAGAATTTGTGGGTTTACGATCCAAAATGTACGCTTTTAACTTAGAGAATAAGACTATAGCCAAGGCAAAAGGGGTAAATAAATGTATCACTAAAAAGATGACAATGAATAGTTATAAGTCTTCTCTATTTAATAAAAAAGTGCAATATTATAGTATGCTTAGATTTAAATCAATTAAACACACAATTTTCACACAAAAATTAAATAAGATAGGTTTATCATATAATGACACAAAGAGACATATTTTAGATAATAATATTGAAACATTAGCTTGGGGTCATTATAAACTGCGTTAAGTGTTGATAGTTTTTACTTTTATGTCTGCGTTTAAGAAAAATTTATATTGATTGTAAAATTATGATAATACTATAATATGACGTAGTTTATTACATATTTAATCATTGTTTTATTGTAAATAATTTAAGTTAATTGTTGTTTCTATTTATTTGAGGATGAGTTAATTGTAAAATTATGATGTACTAATTGTTGTTTCTATTTATTTGAGGTTGAGTTAATTGTAAAATTATGCTGTACTAATTGTGTTAGAAATAGTATACAGATAATTCTGTTTTATATAATTTTTGGAATATATATTAATTGTTTACACCAACACTTTCATTTTTTATTTCACCCCTTTGAACTTTAGACGTGTGTTATGTTTCACTTTATCCATCCGTTCACTGCTATTGTGGCAGGACCAAGTGGGTGTGGGAAGTCAAATTTTGTAACAAATTTCATAAAATCAGTTACAGAAATATGTAATTGTGATTTTAATCAGATCACATGGTGCTTTGATGAAATGCAACCATTATATAATTTACCAAATGTTAACTATCATCAAGGAATTCCAAATCTTAATATGTTTGATGGTGAAAACCCACATCTTGTTATTATTGATGATCTAATGAGAGAGTCCGATGGAAGAATTGTGGATATATTTACAAAAGGTAGTCATCACAGGAATCTTAGTGTATTTTATCTAACACAAAATTTATTTCATCAGGGTAAAGGACAAAGAGACATATCTTTAAACTCAAGTTATATAATATATTTTAAAAACCCTCGAGATAAAACTCAAATAAGATATTTAGCAAGACAAGTATCACCAGATAACCCAAAATTCATTGAAGGTGCCTACAGGGATGCAACTCTAGAGGCGCATGGATATTTAATGGTAGATTTAAAACAGAATACCAATGATTTTTGTCGTATCAAGACAAATGTCTTTCCATTTAATGGTTTCTGTACAGTCTACGTCCCCACAAAAGAGTTTAAATACACTAAGAATCAAACAATTGAAATCATTGCTAAATGATGCATCGTCGACTCACAACGTATAAACATTTGCTAACCGCTTTGCATACGCTTAAACCAAAATATCAAAGAGCATTACTTAAAACGTGTGATGAAGAAGAAATTAACTGTATTTGTGAGTGTATTCATAACGTTTTACAAGGAAAAGTACCTCTTAAAGATCAGGATAAACAAAAATTGAATAAACATAAAAACATACTCCGTAAACTAGTACGTAAGTGTAAACATAAACTAAGAAAAAATATAATTATACAAAAAGGAGGGGCTTTCTTACCAACAATATTAGGTGCAATATTGAGTGGATTAGTGAGTGGACTAGCCAGTTAACATGGAAAATGCAAAGAAAATGATACTTATCGAACCTGGATTGATTGAAAAATTAAAACAAGAAAATAAGGTTAATAGTAATTTATCTCGATTAGATATTGAAATGCAAAATATTATGAATAGTAAGACGGAAGACCGAAAGAAATGGATATTATATTTACAAACACTGCAAAGATACCTTCATTTTATCGAAGAGGATCGTCAACCACTCAAATTACCAATTTATTCTGATACATCTAATGAAGATTCAAATGAGTCAAAAATTGGTTTTAAAAATAAAGATAGAGATCTAAAAACTTCAGTTGATATTGAATCTTTGCTGGAGGAGAATCGATCCATTAAAAGTAAAGAAAATGATGAAAATCCACTTTACACACCAGCTCAAATACTCAGTTTAATACCAAAAACTTATCATAAAAAAGGGCAGTTATTATTAAACTTAGTTGAAACAAGTAAAAGTAAAATACATTGGGATAATGAAGGTACAGTCATAATTGATAGTGAAAAAATTCCTGGAAGTAATATTGTTGATTTAATAAATGATTCACTAAGACCCCTAAAAAGAAGTGATCCGGTAGGGTGGGTTAGATTTGCTGAAGCATTAAAAGATATTAAAGTACCACTTACTTATATTGGAAATCCAAGGAGATGTGGGTTTATTAACCAACTTCAAGCAAAAGATCTGAACAAACCCTCTGAGATTGAAGTTCAAGAGTTTTCTACACCGGGCAGTAGAGATAAAAAGTCTACAACTAAAATACGTAAAGGATTTGAGTGGGAAAAATGGACCCCGTACTAGAAGAAATTAACAGGATTTATTATGATCCATCTAATCCCACTGGTTTTGGTAGTATTGATAAATTATCAAAAGCCATGAAGGGTAAAATGAATAAAAAGCAAGTAAAGGAATGGTTAAAATCACAAGAAACATACACATTACATAAACCCATTCGAAAAAAATTCCCGCGTAATAGGTACATTCTATCAAATATTAATGAACTGTGGCAAGCTGATTTAAGTGATATGCGAACTTATTCTCAATATAAGTTGATGTATTTAGTAAATATGCTTTTGCAAGACCAATGAAAAAGAAAAACTCAGAAACAACTAAAGAATGTTTTGAAAGTATATTTACTGAAAGTAATTTAACACCTACTCACATACAATCCGATAAAGGTACAGAATTTGTTTCAAAAGATGTACAAAAATACTTTAAATCCAAAAAGATTAATTACTATACCACTAACAATCCTGACATTAAGGCCAGTATTGTTGAACGATTTCAAAGAACACTAAAAATGAAAATGTGGCGTTATTTCACTCATAATAATACTTATAGATATATAGATGTTTTACAAGATTTAATATACTCTTATAATCACAGCTTTCACTCTAGTATTAAGATGTGCCCATGTGATGTAAATTCCAACAATATTATGACAGTTTGGACTAATCTTTATGATAGACGGTCAAAAAAACTTTCTTTAGAAAATCCTAAACCAAATTTCAATGTGGGTGATTATGTTCGAATAACTAAATATAAACATGTATTCCAAAAAGGATATGTATCAAATTGGAGTGATGAAATATTTATTATATCTTCAATAATTGATAGATCTCCATGGGTTGTTTATACAATAACAGATTTACAAAATGAACCAATAATTGGTACTTTTTATGAAAGAGAATTACAGAAAATCACTTACAACCCCACCTCACAACATAAAATAGATAAAATAATTGACACTCGTTATTCAGGTAACAGAAAAGAAGTATTAGTGAAGTGGAAAGGTTATCCAGATAAATTTAACAGTTGGATTTTAGCTTCTAGTTTAAAAGAAATATGAATAAAGAAAGTTTCTATTTAACTTTGCTCAGCAATAGTTCAATGGAATACTTTCCTGATAACAAGACCACAAATTTTTCAACGAAATTACCAAAAGCTATAAAATTAGAAGGTGAATTGTCGGTTGGAGTTGTCGAGTTTCAATATCCATGTACCATGTTTACTGTTCAAGACCATGAAAATGTTATATACATTACAAAATCTATGTTAATGCCTAATGAAGATAAGCCATCCACAGTGTACTACAAAAAACATATTCCAGCTACCAACTATGATAACGTTGAGCATATTTTAAGAGTGTTAAATGGTATCGGAGAGAACTTGAAATTTCGCTATGATGAAATAACAAAATTTGTGTCTATTTCGGTATTGGATAAAAATATAACATCCGTAACATTATCACCCAAATTAAGTTTACAGCTAGGTTATGAACCAAATAAAAATCTCCTAGAGAGAAATTTTGGAAAGTGTCCTGCTAATTTACACTTAGGGTTACCATCTCAACTATTTCTATATTGCGACATTATCGATCCTCAGATTGTGGGTGATGTTATGACTCCTTTATTAAGTCAAATATTAATGAACTGTGGCAAGCTGATTTAAGTGATATGCGAACTTATTCTCAATATAAGTTGATGTATTTAGTAAATATGCTTTTGCAAGACCAATGAAAAAGAAAAACTCAGAAACAACTAAAGAATGTTTTGAAAGTATATTTACTGAAAGTAATTTAACACCTACTCACATACAATCCGATAAAGGTACAGAATTTGTTTCAAAAGATGTACAAAAATACTTTAAATCCAAAAAGATTAATTACTATACCACTAACAATCCTGACATTAAGGCCAGTATTGTTGAACGATTTCAAAGAACACTAAAAATGAAAATGTGGCGTTATTTCACTCATAATAATACTTATACATATATAGATGTTTTACAAGATTTAATATACTCTTATAATCACAGCTTTCACTCTAGTATTAAGATGTGCCCATGTGATGTAAATTCCAACAATATTATGACAGTTTGGACTAATCTTTATGATAGACGGTCAAAAAAACTTTCTTTAGAAAATCCTAAACCAAATTTCAATGTGGGTGATTATGTTCGAATAACTAAATATAAACATGTATTCCAAAAAGGATATGAATCAAATTGGAGTGATGAAATATTTATTATATCTTCAATAATTGATAGATCTCCATGGGTTGTTTATACAATAACAGATTTACAAAATGAACCAATAATTGGTACTTTTTATGAAAGAGAATTACAGAAAATCACTTACAACCCCACCTCACAACATAAAATAGATAAAATAATTGACACTCGTTATTCAGGTAACAGAAAAGAAGTATTAGTGAAGTGGAAAGGTTATCCAGATAAATTTAACAGTTGGATTTTAGCTTCTAGTGTAAAAGAAATATGAATAAAGAAAGTTTCTATTTAACTTTGCTCAGCAATAGTTCAATGGAATACTTTCCTGATAACAAGACCACAAATTTTTCAACGAAATTACCAAAAGCTATAAAATTAGAAGGTGAATGGTCGGTTGGAGTTGTCGAGTTTCAATATCCATGTACCATGTTTACTGTTCAAGACCATGAAAATGTTATATACATTACAAAATCTATGTTAATGCCTAATGAAGATAAACCATCCAGTGTACTACAAAAAACATATTCCAGCTACCAACTATGATAACGTTGAGCATATTTTAAGAGTGTTAAATGGTATCGGAGAGAACTTGAAATTTCGCTATGATGAAATAACACAATTTGTGTCTATTTCGGTATTGGATAAAAATATAACATCCGTAACATTATCACCCAAATTAAGTTTACAGCTAGGTTATGAACCAAATAAAAATCTCCTAGAGAGAAATTTTGGAAAGTGTCCTGCTAATTTACACTTAGGGTTACCATCTCAACTATTTCTATATTGCGACATTATCGATCCTCAGATTGTGGGTGATGTTATGACTCCTTTATTAAGAGTCATTTCATTAGATCCTACAAAATACATTTATGGTGCAAATAAAATGCACGTTTTCTCTCAACCTCACTACTTACCTGTTATGCGAAGAGAGTTCGATACGCTGGAAATAGTTATAAGATCGAGTACAGGACAAAAAATACCATTCCAGTTTGGAACCGTGTGTATTAAACTACATTTCCGAAAATTATAATAATGAATTCTCTTCGTGATCATCATAAATGTCCATATGAAAATTATTATACACATCAAGCTGGATCAGGAGTTGGAGTAATTTATAAGGGTTCACCATATCAACGCGGTCATGGTATTGGGAGCTTCTTAGGGGGGTTATTCAGATCAGTTTTACCTTTACTTTCAAGTGGTGCTCGAGTGATTGGTAAGGAGGCATTAAGCGCTGGAGTAGGACTTTTATCGGATATGGTTCAAGCCCGTCCTATGGAAGCCTCAATAAAAGATCGTCTAAAGCAAGTTAGTACGAATTTAAAACGAAAGGCTGATGAGAAAATTGATCAATTTAACATGACTGGATCTGGGTATAAAACTAAAAGAAAACGATTGACATCGTTCATTCCACCATTAACTGCTAAAGTGAAAGCTGCGAAAAAACTTTGTCTAAAACCAAAAAATATCAAAGATATATTTTCAAACTAAATATGTCTTTCCTTCATAATCATTCTTGCAGGTGCGTTAAGTCTGAATTGGATTTGTTTGCACTACCGTCTACACAAACTAGCATTGAAAATGGATTGTGGATTCATTATAAACCAATTTCATCTCTTGGTGATGATGGACCTATCGAGTTTCAAGTTCCTGGGACCGGCGATGAC